ATGGCCTTAGTAGAAAAAAAATTAGATAAATAAATTGTCAATCTATTTTACATGCTTCTGGTACATTAATTTCTACAAATTACTCTGATGATTTATAACATTAATATCAATTATATCTTCTATATCTTCTGTACTATTGATTATTAAATCTTCTGATTCATTTAAGCATGATAGGTATATTAGATATAGTTTTTTACTTGTTAGAGTCCAAGTTTCCTGTTGGTGTCTTTTTTGCTCCACTGCTTGGATCTCTTTTTCCATTTGCAACAATTTACTTTCTTCTATTAATGCATGGACTTGGCGCCAGTTATTAGCCAATTTTTTAAAGCAGATTCATTTAAATGCTTGTTCAAATAAGGGCCAATTTGATTCAACATAGGTACAAGCATCTTTTTCTAGATCTTCATCAATATTCTTCACAATCTTGGCAGACACAACTGAGGTACTTTTCATAACTTCATTTTCAAGACTCTTTAAAGCAAGAAATAGTGGAGTGGTATGATGTTTAAAATCAGTTCTAATTAATCATTTTCATTTTCCATCAGGTGTATTTATAACCTGATGGACTAAATATTTATACATTAAAAAGTGACTTCTAACAAAAGAAGGACAACTACAAATCCAGAGTGAAACATTAATGTAATATAAACTAGCTGAGTTGGTTATTTTTTCAATATGCTTTCTCTTTCTTTTGATATTTTTATTACACATCTCTGCTCTCTATTCTTCATTCACACCTGTATAAACCTACTCTTTCTTAAAATCTTCCCACCAATGTGGTTCTATTGAACTACTCAGAATCTGCAAAAATTGATCAAGCTGTATTGAAATCACTTTATCAAAAAGTGTCTAAAATAATAGATCTAATCTTGGACTATTAAAACAGTATAGATAATGTCATTTTATCACTCCAGTGTGCTTCTATCTTTATTGTTGTCTTTTCTAAGGACACTGTGAGTTTTGTTAATCATGCCTACAGATACCATTGATTAGATGAGTACTAATTTATTCATAAATATATCCATAATAAAGATAACTTATTATCAAAACAAAATTGATACATTTCTCTCACAGTGTAACATTAAATTTCATCTTGATTCATGGTGCCCCCCTGGGCATTAACAGGTATTAAAGTGTGCATATTATAATGCTTTTGAATTAAATTTAAAATTTTCTCATAATATGCTACCAGGCAAACAATATAAGCTTTAGATTTTGTTTATTTACTATAGGATAAAAATTGAAGTCGATAAAGTCGAATACTTCTGTTGTTTGATTAATATTATAATTTACAAATACTAATTCATTTCTTGATGCTTTGGGTTTTTCATTTAATTTTAACTTTAGAGTCTGGTTTATATGCCAAGCACAGAGTTGGTTCACCAAAGATCCCCACACCTTTGCCGTAGCATTGATTTTTGCAAAATTTTTATCTGTAAATATAAAATCAGGTCTAATATTATGGTTTTTCAATGCTTCTATAAATATTTTCAAAATTTTACTATGCTTGCCTGTACTTGTATTTGTATTGGTTGTCCTTGTTGTGTTAACAATTAGATATGTGATCAGAAACCTGGTATCTTCAACATCTTCTACCATATCATAAAGTTTATATTGTCCTCTTGCCATTTTATACATTGTATCCAAATAGATCTCAGACATGCAAATGCTTTTATTCTTGATCTTATTTAATAATGGTGTAGTAAACCCAATAGCCGTAAACTCTGAATCATTTATATATACATACTGCTGGAAGCCCCAACTTACATATTTATTAAGCAACATAAGAGCAGATTCAACAGAATTATTATAATATTGAAATATATTATGATTTGCTATAGTTTTTCATAATAAATACGTTTGTGAGAATACTCCATGATGTCAAACTCTTGGCATTATAGATAGGTGATTAATTGTACTGTAGTAAGATGTAAATGTTCTTTAATTTCTTCTTTTAGATTTTTAGGCATTTCAGCACAGAAATCAGAGCATGTATAGAGAGATTCATGATATAAGTTTACTACTGCAACACCAAGTTCTATATCTACTCATATTGTAATCTTTCCTTTACAATTATAACATACACACCACTTTTAATTAAAGTCTTTGTATTTGCCTTTTACTTCTTCTAATTGGCAACATATATAAATAAACCTCCCAACTGTATTACCAATTTTTTTTGATATTTCTGTTTCATAAAAACTATTGTAAGTTTACTATTAGTTAATAATCATGAAATATCAAGTTGTGCATTTATAGAGTTGAGCATATATTTGGATCAGACTTGGGAATATATTTAAAGTGTGTATATTTAAAGGGTTATGATTAATATGATGCTTATATCCAATAATAGTCATCTCTACCTTCTATTTTAATAATAACAAGGTCAGCAACCTCTTTTGCAGTAATATTTTGAATATCTATATGTACTAAAAAATGTATATTATAGCTTGTATCAGCAACACCATTGACAGATACACTAGCTGTAATCTCTTGGATCTTAGCTCTAATAAATTCTCTCACTTCAAGATAATCTATCTCAATACATGTGAAGCTAATGGTATGTACTACTTCTTGATCAATTGATATAGTAACATTAGTTGAATTCTCAATTTGTCTGAAAGATATTTATTTTTTTTATGATTTAATTTACATTGAATACAGATCAAATGACAAACATCTTCCCAAATGAATTTGTTTTCTAAGTGCTTAACTTTGCAGTGACTGTACTCTTTTATTTTTAACTTATAAATAAGGGTTAAGTTTGGTGATATATAATTTAAAGATTTGATGGAAGATATATTAGAATTATCTTTATTTCAAAAATTTAAATAAGTATAATAATTTCTTTAACTCATAGTATGAATTGCAATGGGTATTTATTAAAAAATAATCAAAGTAAGCTGATATATGTACTATTATTAAAAATTAAAAGTAGCAAGCAGAACTAGTAAGTTTCTAATATTACAATTATATGATGTATCTTATTTCTCATACAAATAATAAGGCTCAATATGTAAAATCTTATATTTAAAGATTTTTCTTAGATTATATTAAACCTTTATTATTAAGATTTTAATATATTAAAATAAGAGTTTATCAGCTCACATGGCTTTATTATTTGTTGTTTATTACAATTACATACAAGCTAGTCAAATAAATTATCTTTTTTTTTTAAATAATGATTTAATTAATGCTTGAACTTCTATATAGTATTTTGTAAAGCAATTCTTTATCAAATTAAATTAATCTATCAGTACATTATGTAATTGACAATTTAGATTAAATAAATCAATTTATTAGTACATGTAATAATTTTATATTAAAATATAATTATATAGTGTAATATTGTTTTTTTTTATTTACAAATCCAAGAATATTCGATCCAAATTTAATTATTATATTATCAAAAATAAAGAGATATAATTTGATTTGAATGTTTTTGTTAAAAAAAAAAATGACACAAAACTTGTAAAACAATAATGATCCAGATCCATAATTATTACTTATTAAGGTTATTATATATATAATTCTACTATCATAGTGTAAATGAATTGTTATAAAATCTATCTAACAATTAAAATAACAATTGTAGACACGAAACTAAGTGGTATACTATCATAACTTCTAATAAAGTGATACAAAAATATTAATATATATCAATGATATTTAAAAAAGTTAAATATTGAAGGTATAAATCCAGAAAATATACCAACTACATACATTATATGTAATACAAAAATTTTCACAGCTATACTAAATATACTTTCATTATTAGATTGGAATACTTCATTATTAAATTAGAATATTTCTTAATTTTTCCATATTAATATCAACAAACACCATGAAAGTAGTAAGTATATTCAAAAAATATATATATAATTCCTAAAGAATAATTCAAACAAGAAGTATTATTTAGTAATAATAACTCATTATCATATTAAAACCATAAAAACTATTGAATACATTTAACAAAACTCTTTTTCTAGAGTATCTAGCCATTTTGGCATATTAAATTAAATGCAGTGCAAATTCAAGATCTTTGTCTTGATAGTAGAAATCTTTTTGATTTTTAAAAGCTGCTTTACCTTTTTTAGCATGTTGATAGTTTTTAAAAACAAACAATTCTGAATATTGCCTAATTTGTGATGAATCTCTTTAAATGTATTGTTAATTAAATAATAATTTTTGCTGTTTAATAATATCTCTAAGTTGTATTATACAATACAAAAATTTTTATGGCTATACTAAATATACTTTCATTATTAAGTTAGAATACTTCATTATTGAATTGGAATATTTTATAATTTTTCTATATTAATATCAACAAAACATCATGAAAGTAATAAGCATACTCAAAAAATATATATAATTCCTAGAGAATAATTCAAACAAGAAGTATTATTTAGTAATAATAACTCATTACCATATTAGAACTATAAGAACTATTGAATACACTCAACAAAACTTTTTTTCTAAAGTATTTAGCTATTTTTGATATATTAAATTAAATACAGTGCGAATTTGAGATCTTTGTCTTGATAGCAGAAATCTTTTTCAATTTTTTAAAAGCTACTTTATCTTTTTGATAGTTTTTAAAAACAAACAATTCTAAATATGCTTAATTTGTAATGAATCCCTTTAAATATATTATTAATTAAATAATAACTTTTGCTATTTGATAATATCTCTAAGATATATTAACATCATTATTATTACCTTGTATGTTTAATAAAATCAACATATTATTTCAAAGCTATACTGCCTAAACTTTTTTATGCTTTGTGTATTGAGTTAAATATATAAATTATCATGGCTAATATATCTCTAATTATTAAGTACTAAAATAATTCATTATTAAAAGCCAATAATTAAAATTTTATCACTGGCCCAATATCAATCTATTGTATTATTTGAAACTGCAAAGAATTATATAAAGCCAGTTATCATTTTATTGACATTCATTAAATTCAGCTATCTATCAAAAATATTCAATCACTATGTCTACACCTTATTTAATTATCAATTCCTTTTCTGAGTCTTCTTATGAAGGTGCTTAATGCTTTAAAAAAAATAAAAAATCTGTTAATAACTCTAAAGAAAAAAAATAAAAGTTTGAATCTGTTTATGAAGCAGAAGACTCTTCACAAGCCAATAAGCAATCTCTTGAACTATATCACATAGAATCTTTGAACCACAATTTGTTGCAATAGATCATTATTAACCAACAACTACTTACAGTAGTGAAGAAGATTTATTTATAAAATTTGTCTCTAACCTTGATCCATATTATAAACTTCCCTCTTGTTAAATACTCTCATCAAATATTAAAAAGCAATTCGATTTTGCAAGATTAAAAATCAAAAAAATCTTAAAAACAAATAATAGTAAACTATCACTCACTATAAATATTTGGACAGTATATACTTAGTCCTTTTTCAGAATAATAGTCTATTGGATTGATGATAAGTAGATTAGAAGAACTCTTATTCTCGACCTTATTCCTTTAAATGAAACCTACACTGGAGAATATCTTGGTAAAAAGATTCTTGAAGTTGTTAAAAAAAATAGAGATAAAAAAAACAGCTAATTGGATTTACTAGTTATGAAGCAGAAAGTCAGACATATATACATTTCCTTCAAAGAACCATAAACCCTAACCTTGAGTATATGTATTGCATAGCAAATGCTATCAATCTTATAGTTAAAACAGGTCTATAGCAATATATTAATCAAATTCAAAAGGCCCGTAACTTTTGTAATAAAATAAATTCGTCTTTAATCTTGGAGAAAATAAAAAGAATTTCTATCATTTTAGACTGTCTTTTTTTTTACCTCATGGTTGACATCGAGGCAAAATGGATTTCTACTTATTTATTGTTTGAGAATCTCAATAAAATTCGAACTATTACTGATGGCCTTATAATTTCTTACCCAAATTTAAAAGACGATTATCTGGAAACTGACAATTGGGTAATTATAGAAGAAATTATAAAGTTTTTTGAACTGTTTTACAAAGTGGCCATATTTCTTGCAAACACTTCATACCCTTCCCATGAGTCCTTGTGATTAATTGTCAAAAGGCTCTCAATGCACCTTAATCAATATCTTTTTCTTAATACCCATCATGAAGCAGCTGTAGAAATAAAAAATAAACTAAAAGAATATTGGGTTTACCTTTCAAAATCCTCCTCCTTGATCTATCAAAAAAATCAGAAGCATTCTATGTAATTGATCGTGAAATGGCCATTAATGTGTTAAAGACTTCTTATTCACTGTACAAGAAAAATAAATTAAAAACAAATAACTAGACTCATGAACTTGTTAGAAACATTCTGAAAGCTTATAAAATTAAACGAAGATAAAAGTAGAGAAAACCAAGTAGATGAATTAGAAACATACCTCTCTTTACCACAGGAGTCAGGGGTAAATCCGTTACTGTGGTGGAAAACAATGCCCATCATTTTCCAACCATAGCTTGTATAGCGGCAGACTACTTTGCTTTACAAGTTACGAGTATGTCCTGTAAACATGCTTTTCCTGCCACAAATACTACCGAGCTCACCAGAAGTGGCCCTAAAGAGATGGCTGGTGTTCTATTAGGTTTAAAAATTTGGTTTGAGGAAAAAATTATTGAATGAAAAAAAAAATTGTATAAAGTTCTACTTTTATCGATATCGTAATATATAGTTGTCTTTTTATTATCGTTAATTAATATATTAAAGTTTATCTTATCGCTATCTTGTATTAGATGATGAAATCTATGTCATATGACATTTTGCGAGCATGATGATGTGTGGCGGGTGACTCGTGACCCGCACTTAGGGGGGCCGCCCTGGCCGTGTCATAAAAAGGTGAATTATTGCAGAAAAATGCACTTTCAACGGACAACAATCAGGTGATTGTATGAGTGACAAATTGATAACATTTTTCAAACAGCGATAAATGGAGGTATACAGAGGAACTGTTAAAGCTATATTATAATCACATCAAAATGCCTAGTTTAATAAGAATGAAAAAAAAACATAACAATGAGTGATTCTGTCTAATAGGAATTTAAAGAAAGCAAAGACTCAAGCACCTACCTCAATGAATTCAATAAAAAATCTGATTGGCTAGTTTGATCAAACAGATTCGTTATTGAGTCCATTGAGGTAGGTGCTTGAGGACGCCCTTAATAAAGTCTGACTTCATTCAATAATATTTTAAAGTAAAGACTAATTATACTATAACCCGTCCAAGACAATTTTAAAAACAGATTAATGTTATAACACGTGCTAATAAATGTGTGAAAAAGCACGGGTTGTTACATAAGACTCGTACAATAAAAACTTTTAATCTACTGTATCAGACATGAATAGTAATATACTGTATAAAAAGCGTACATGATTCTTAAAAATTTTAGCATTTAAATTTAATTTGTTATGTAGTAACGGTAAAGTATAATATCATCTGCCTGATTTTTCCGAAAATCTAAATTTATGATGTACTCAAACTATACTAAAAGCTATACTAAAAGCTATACTAAAAGCTATACTAAAAGCTATACTAAAAGCTATACTAAAAGCTATAGAGAATGCTATCACTAATCCTATACCATATCGCTGAATTCGGTTTTCGGTCCATGTGACAAATTAAGAAATTCGTATACCCAAAAAATTTTTAGAAGTATATAACGGATTTTTGGGTCTTATAATTAATTTTTTTGTAAAATCCTTTATATAGCTTTTTACTAATATTTTTATAACGGATTTATAATAATTTTTAAATTTTAAGTCCGTTATATAGGTGATTTTTATTATAGATGTCCGTTATATGTATAGGTAGTTAACGTATATTATATCAATAAAGGTCAATTCAAGCAAAGTTTAAATGAAAAAAAACAAGTAAAATTTAAAGAATCTGGTATTGTAATACATTGAGAAATTTAGAAAAACTTCAAAAAGGTACAAAATTCTATAAATGTTGAAAATAAAAACGACCTTCGAATATTCATTTGTCAATTCTAAAATCATTATAATAAAATCTATTATATGCATTTAAATAATTAACCATCGCATGATTCCTGTTTTTATTATTTTCAGAAAAAAATCGTGAAATAAAAATTATCCCTTATGAACCGTGCGATCCGTGATTCTTAAATCATTCTTAAATCATTCTTAAAAATGAGTAAGATTCTTCCATGCATTTGGGTTTTTTAGCAACCACTCAAATTATCGTGATACGTCTTTTCTTATTTAAAAAGTAATTGACACAATCTGCAATCGAGAAGTTCTTAGTACGTACGTACCATAGGAAGACTTTCGTATGATTGGCAGTTTAAATCAATTTAATTTTACATTATTTATACAGTTTAAAGTACTTTT